TAATAATAATAATAATAATAATAATAATAATAATAATAATAATAATAATAATAATAATAATATTACAGATTAACAAAATCAAAGCATAATTAAAAGACAATTTTTTGAGCTTAATATGATAGTGAAATTAAAAAATGCTTCATGATAACATGCTACATGACCTCGTGAATAATTAGTTTGCTATTTTGATGACTGTAGCTGGAATCCCTCCAAACGACCGTTTAAATTGTGGAGCATGGTTCCGTATGCTGGAATAATCAATTGCAACCCTGTAGCAATTAGGGATGCAACATAGATTCGATGTTTTTGTTGAAACATCAATGTTTTAAACATTGCTGATGTATTAGCACCAATGTTTTTTAACATAGATGTTTCGATGCTTTTCCTTTTACCATGATTTGTTTCTGAATGAAAAATTACCATAATCACAATACTGTAAATGTTAAAATAAGGAATAATTAATAGTATCACTCTTAGTTGTGAGTTGGAACCAAAGGAAAGCTGCACTACCTTCATCGATCAGACTCTCTCGTCTGAGATGACCTCCATGTCCTTGTATTTCCTTTTCCTCGGATTCATTTCGCACATTAAGAGAAGAACAACAATAACGCCGTGTGCATAAGTAAGCCTTTAGCCTACTTCTCGTACCCTCATTAAGCGAATTGATAAACACGAAAACTGTCAAAAAAATCTTAATCCACGCGAATTTAATGTTAGAGGTTACTAATCCAGTCTAAAAACATCGATGTAGAAAAATATCCATGGTTTTTTGGTCGATGTATTTTTAACATCGATGTTTTAATTTTGAATATCGATGTTTGCTAACATTATTTTGTTATCGATGTCGCATCACTAGTAGTAGAATCCCTTCCATTGTTACTTAGAACACACTTCCAGGCGAATGCTCCAATAAATCATGCGCAGAACCTACTGTCATTCCGCCATACGATCACAATATTTCTGGTAGTCGATCAATACCGTTATTGCGATTTTCGCCCTTGAGTTTTTGTTACTCACTATCGAGACAATTTAAACAAATCCCAATTCTAACTAATAGTACTAAAACAACCCGTACTTTCTCGCCCGTATTTTTACGCGAAAAGTATTCAAATTTTCGAAAAATTATATATGAATGTGAGCGTATTTCAAAATCTATCTTTGAGGAAGAGATTTCATTAAGGGAAAATCCCTATTTTTAATATTTCAGTTGTAGGAAAACTCCAAAGAATTTTGAACTTTTGCTTGTGTCAAAAAATTAGTGTTATCAATGAACATGAGAACTGCACCATTCTCATAAACGTCCTTTTCCCTATACAATAAAATACTATATTCAGGCTTAAGAAAATACAAAATATACAACTAATTTTGCATCTCCTTGAGGACCCAGTCCTGTGCGCGAGATCTGATAAAACAGAATTTACAATTTTCTCATAAAACAATAACAATTGATATTATTTATTAAGTTTAATGTGAAGAATTCGGATTAGTTCCAATGGGCAACATTCAAACGACCCAATTAACTAAATTGTTCAAGATTCAAAAGTAGAAAACCAGCCTTTCATCGTCTCACTACATCATAGTTTTCAAATCAAATATTTTTATATAATAAATTTACATATGCACATTCTTGTAAATTTAACACGGTCAACCGCCGCTTAAAGGCTTGGAGAGAGATATTTTGGTTATGAAGATCTATATTGCCTCTCCAGTGGATCATGGTCAGCGTGCAAACTTTCTGTCCTGCAATCCCGGGTTCGATTGCCGATTTGGGTATAATTAGAGCTGTAGTTTTCCATCACAATCGTCTTAGTTTCTACAGTTGTACGATAAAAGAAAAGCTCAGGCAACGTATGCTAGAAACGTTGTGTGAATACGCCATGTTCGCCACCCTTACACCCAGTCGTGGGTAATGGGCCCAAGCCGGGGAACAGCGGTAGCTCACAAAAGTCGGGTTAATCCCACCCTAAAGCGCCAAATAATTTGATTGATTAGTGATACTGGGTGCGTTAACTTCAAAGGTGGTTAGTCCCGTAAGTGCAGTGCATTGTTATCCTTGTAATGCGGCGATGCTCTTCTTCTGGTCAATGTTGAGATCCAGCGCCGACCTTCCGAGGTTTTCCCCATTCAGGTATCTCCCAACCAGCCGGGACAAGCTCTAAGCTCCCGTTCGGTCTGCCGGCAAGTGTGGTGGTGCAGTGCATGTTAGTGTTAATGTGTGTGTAAGGGGTAAGGATATGACAAGAAAGAAGTAGCGCGCGATCCACGCCCGTTTGTTCGGGAACTGCTCCGGCATTCGCCCAGTATGGGTCGGAGAAACCACGGAG